CAGCCCACATTTAAATTTTTGGATGACTTTTTTAGCTTTTATGAATAATGTTATGAGAAGGATGTGTTTTTATTTTCATATTTTATGTTAAAAATGTTTAAGTGTTTATAATGCTTATATTTTCATTAATATTTTTCGGGCCATCTTGAGCGATCAGCTTCCCAAGATAGCCCAATACCAATTTTCTAAAAAGTGTTTACATTTGTGTTAAAATGCCAAAAGTTTTACTACTTTTTTAGATATCTTGTTTCTCAAATAAATATATAACAACTTCCATTATGTTTTTTTCTTTACTTTACTTATCTGCAAAATTTTACGAGGTTTTGAAATTAAGTGGGCCTTCATTGGCGCCTGTACCTTATTACAATTGCATCGAAATTTCTGATGCATATGACGTATAACTTTATCTTAAAAATAAAAGAAGTCTGATCTAAAAATAGAATTTGTTTGCTGCAAAAGTGGTATTAAGTTGAATTAGTAGTCAAATTAATTCATGATGATGAATACTTTATGATCCAGTCTTATTTTCTTATCATCTCTACTCTCAGACAGAGTGAAAATAACATAATCTTTTAAGAGGTTTTGGCCTAATCCGTTTCAAAAGCTTATTCTTTTGAGATTACGTTACAAATGCAGTACAAAAGTCTGCTGTTAAACCAATTTATTTGTTTCCAAATAACACTTACACAAGTTATCAGACATTTTTCTTGGTACATATACGAATTTCTTATATTCGATCAAAACAAAATTATAAATGAGATAACTATAGGGTCAAGCATTCCCCTCAATTGCATACGATAGAGGGAGAACCCTTTTAGAAAAATGTGGTTTATAATTTGTTAGGAAACCATTGTGTACAGATTTAGGCGTAGCGTTAATTCACAATATTAATTAATATTAATTGCGTTGAATATTTGTGAAATGCGTCACTTTATTTATCTAGTTAATAATGTAACGTACTCCATTTGTTCATTATTTTTTTGTTTTTTTTTTTAATAATTCGCCGCATGTTTATCGAAAAGACAATTCTTGAAGCTCCGAAAGGAGGCGAAAGATCATTAACATGGTGTGAGCGTAAACAATATAAAATGGAAATAATATAATATGGAATGTCCGTATCGTCCAAGTCCAGAGGGCAATTCGTAATAGTTCATAACAAAAAACAGTGCGTTTCTGTTTTCTCAGAAAGAAATTATCTAAGAATAATCACGTACAACAAGTCATACTCGTACCTTATACGTTTAATGAGTTAAAAAAGCATATCTAGAGTTACGAACAGTACTAATTATAATATTTTAAATTATTTGCCTTTACTACAGTTGTGATAAACTATTTGCATTTTCATACTAATAGGATGACGTATCAAGGTAAGATCCAAGGAGTCCGATTGGTTAAAAGTATAAGTAATAAAAATAATGCCAGAAGGCGATCCTTATCAAGACGATAGTGATGCACAAAGCAAGATTTTTTAGAAAATACTACAAATGACACCAGTGAACGCCACCTGTAGCACGATGCTACATTTTAGAATTACGTATGCTGATGAGATCCAAAAAGATCGAAATCGCGATCCGCGTCTGGCAGTTTCGACAGAATACAGACCACTTCGAATTATTTTACAAGATTTAAATCTAAACTTCTTGGAAATGAATAATCTAAAATATTGGATTGATATTGTTTTCCGGGCTCAATGTCATGGTCCATGGAATTTTGAAGTTCCAAATTGATATCAGCATCTACCAAATCACTATTTTTCGTATCTTTAGTAAAAGACTGCGAGTCTATGAATTACGGCAAAACAACATCGAATTGATATACGCCAACTGTGTAAAACTAAAAACTGGAGGATATTGTGGTGTGCTAATAAATGCATATAATCTAAAATTCGTAGAAAACGATTCGAAAAACTTCACTTATTGGATAAACCCAAAGTTAAAGAAACTATGGATTCCATTTCTTTCTCTAATTACAAAGTGTAAAAAATCAAAAACAAAAGGGAGTTGTAAAAATTTTGATATAAAATGATTGATATTGATTTTACATCAATAAAATTATTTGCAGCCCTGTTTAGGCTCTGATCTTTCACGGCAAACCAACTATTTTGGCATCAGTGTCTTTTTTTCCAATTAAAACAGATAACAAAATTAAATTAGGAAGCATATAGAACAATTATTTGTTGCTGAACTGAAGAAACTACTATATATTATAAAGATAGAAAAACTATATCTCAGTCACTTCAAACAGAAAAATATAAATCATACTTAATCTTCCCAGTTGGTGATATAGTGCAAACACCACTATTAGTCCAGAAAAGCTACAATAATTAAAAAATTGGTAAATGCCTGTAAGGGTTCTTAAAAAATATTTTATACTTAAGTAAATATAGAAAAAATGCTGGGGGGCGGGCAGTCCCTCTGGATTACGCCGGAAGGTAGGGCGGAAGGCCTTCTTCAGCCTTTTTTCAGGAATTGTGGGAATGGGTGGGTGGTGGTTCAAGCGAGAAATGTGAAACGGACGAGATGAAGACAGAAGAGAATGAAAAATTATCTATGGAATATTATTGCCCCAACANTTATTATTTGTTTAACTTAAGATACTTTTATGTATATAGGTATATGTATATTTATTTATTTATATTGTATATTTCTGGAAAAGTATCATCTAGGACACTCGTTTCAAAGTTTAAGTAAATTTCTACATATTAACATTATTTTTGAATTTGTAATTTGAGTAGTTTTAAAATAAGTAGTTGATCGAAGAACATGTTTTTGGAATAGTCTTTTCGCAATATAAAATACAAAAATTTCAAAAAAAATGCGTTTTTGAGTTCCTTACTGCTAGATCTCTCAAACAACACCCCACATGATAGATACTCGAAAAACAAATCTTTTCGGGTTACCTACTTGACTTGTGCATACATTTCCTCTAATATTTTCATACAAATATCATTAAATCGCTAATAGGAAAAGTATGGATTAAAATTAAAATTTATTACTAGATATACGAAGTTTCAAATTTCTCGGTTTAATTAATTTTAAAGATTTTATAAGGATTCCTGTGAGAGCACCTATTTAACCGAATCTTAAAAATATACTACATTGAAAATTTCACTAATAAAAGTGGCTGAATTCTCCACTAGAGATAACTCTGACTTGCCCCTGACTATATTTTCACCTAACTACCTATTGAAGGGAGTTAAATGGTGTTTTTTATATTCATTTACATAGTTAGGAGGCGCTTTATTAACTTTTAATCCCAGACTGGCTAATCACGCGTTGTAGTAAAATTTGTGTGCTTTGTATTCAATTTAATCGAACTACGTAGAAGACGAAGTTACATCAGCAGGGTAACAAAATCAATATTGTTGATAGCTATATCGACAACGGTGTTTTTCTCCCTTTGAAAAACATGTAGTATGCCTTCGTACCGCTAAATTTTCTGTTTAATCGTTGAGCAATGAAGCCATTTAAAATTAATGTGAGCTTCTACAGTTTTCAGTCCAATTATAGAAAAATGTGTATTATTATTATTATTATTATTATTCCGCGTTATAGGTAACCTTTCAGTTCATTAAATATTTTTTTCCTTCAATAAATAATAATCAATATTGGTTGATAAGGCAATTGACCATAATGGACAAACAATACATTCACATTAAGATACAATAATGTATGTATTTATAGAACATCGTCACGTCCGGAAACAGTAAAATTATCTATATCAAGTGGAGCATAAAGTGAAATTCAAAAGATTATTTATTCATTATAAATATTATATGTACTTATACCTAAACATTATACCATTTCCGACGCCTCCGCCATTATTTTATATGAAAATATTCTTTTTTTTAAATAGTCCTGCCGAATATTTATTCAGGATGAAATGACAATACTTATATTTTTGGTATTAAACAAGAATTATTAACAGGTAGGTACTCTAAGGATGATGACTTTTTATATCACCTTTCGCAATCAGTAGGTGAACTGATGTTGTTCTGATATAGGTTTAAAGTGGCGACTTCTGAAGAAGTTTGCGAAACGTTAGGAACGAACTCCAACTCACAAGCGCCTTTAGACGCGAATCAGAATAGCATCAGTTGAAGGATTATCTTCCGATTAATTTTTTTATAAGCATTTAAGTTTAGGCTAGAAGCGTTTTGAAATGTGGTGTTACAGGCGAATTTTTCTATAAGTTTATACTCAATCCCTAAAGATACTATCTCATATTAGCAACCCTCATTATCTCATAATAGGAGACCATTTGCCTGAGACGTAATTTCTGAACTTTATAATACTTTTTGATATAATAAATAATGTATTATAATTAGAACTAAATGGCCTCTCATAAATAAACTTCGTTAAATACCCTCTCGAATAGTGATTAGTGCAATAATTTATGTTTTATGTCGAAAACAAAAAATGGTATCTCATATTCGGCATCCTTACCCTACTGTCTACAAATAGTTAAGGATGTGAGATGTTCTAGTTTTAGGGAAATGCGAAGATTAGCTGAGGATAGGAAAGAGTGGAGGTGCGTGTCCAACCAGTCTTAGGATTGACGACCTTATGATGAGATGATGATAAGCATTTTAGGGCTTTTTGTAGATCTTTTAAAATAAGTTATCAAAATTGAATATTATCACAGATACCCACTTTCATTCCAGATTAGGTTAGGTTATAGCTTAACAGGTCGGGTACAACAGTCCCAAAGAGGCCTTCCAGTTTTGGATAATCCATTCAAAAATATGAAATATGTATACCTATTTGAACGTTTCTATTCGATATAAATTAATAAAATGTACCTATTGAGTAACATTATCAAAGTTTTCCATAATAATTAAATTGTTTTTTTTTTATAAATTTTTATTTAGTTTTGGTAATTTTCTTATTCAAAGCCCCGCTGGAATACGATATGTTTTACACAATATCTTTGTTTTTAAATTAGTGATAGATACCAGTATTATTCGTTCTCTAAAACTGCTGCCATCCGGTTAAATGTCTAAATTTATCTAATAAAAGCTACAGGAAATATAACAGCATATATATCTATATCGACAAGTTAATTTTACGTAAATTGTCGAAAGTAATCGTAACACTTCCGTTAAAATTTAGAGAGTTTAGAGTTATCATTCCGTTTGCTCGTTTACACCAATTTAGAATAGAAGTAGTTATGCGTCTTTTAATTTATCTCATGGGCTACACTCTAGCTAATGTATTAGCTATTTTAGAAAGAGGTAAGTACCAAGTATTTGTGTAGGTACTAAATATTAATACTCTGTGTATATTTCGCACAGAACTTCGCTCAGATCGTCATAGGAGGTACTTGGGTTTAGGGAGAAGGTTTAAGGTAATTGTGGTATCCATTAGAGGGTGGTCAATTATTTTTAGTGCTAATTAATTCAGATTAACCGCCGATACCAGGAATGCGTAGGACCCGGCGATTTACCGGGACATTGCAAGCATCCCCTTTTTTGTGCTATGAATGTCGTCGGTTCGTCGAAAAATCCCGTCGAACATCTTTGTGTCATAGAAAAAACGTAAGCGATATCGAACCAAAAATGAATCTCGTAAAACTAATAAATAACTTTTACAAGGTTCGTGGGGGTTTGTTGTCCAGATGACATCTTGTTAAGTAATATAGTGGGTTCCCGAATTATTATGGACCTTCCTGCAGGAGGTGAAGATTACGATGAACAGCAAAATTTCACAATGGGTAAGAAGAAAAACACTTTTCTTTCTTGCTTATAAATTTGATAGTAATTACAATTACACACTGGCAACGAATTGAGCGAGTCAGTTAATCTGTAAAACTGCTGTTTACTCGTTTGCCAATTTTCAACGTCCCAACAATAAGTATCCTTAAAATAAGAACAATTTTAAAGCATTTGTTCGACCTCGTATATCTAAACTTTTTTAATAATTCCGAATGAAGTCGATCAAAATAACTTTTATCGAACTATCATATCAGAACATCTTCAGTTGTCCATTTTATTATATTTTCTCGTAAATAATTCAAAGTTAATAATAGAGTGTTCTCAAAATAACCTACGTGTAAGATTTTTTGTTCCGAATACTTCCAGACATCATTTACTCTTTACATTTTCAAACAACTTTTTCGTCTTTATATTATCACTGTAATAAAAGTAGAATATTGATAAATCTTAGGTTTTACTGGCAGTTTTTAGGATCTACCAACAAGAGCTGGTAAATGTAAGGGTTAATACAAAATGGACGATTTTTTTGAGTTTTATCATTCGAGTTTGGTACTTGCTAAGTTTTATAAATTACGATTAGTAAATATACACTTTGGCAATAATATAATCCACTTCATCATCATAATGTCGTCAGTCCTAAGACTGGTTGGACACGCACTTCCACTTTTTCCTATCCTAAATTAATATTCGCACTTTCCTAAAACAAGAACATCCCACCTCCTTGACTGTTTGTGAACAGTAATCTAATCTAGGTCTATCTCTACTCCTGTTAACTTCTGTTTCTGCTTCTAATATGTCTCCAATTAAGCTTACAATCGCATTTCTTCGTCAATCGTCGAGCATTTCTTTATGCAGTTGCATTTTTTTGAATTCTTGACCTATTGTCAAAGACAACTTTTTTCTTATTTTTTTATCTTATATCTTTTTTTTAATTTTTGTTTATTTTACATATCAAATAGCATTTTAAAAATGTTTTTTTTAACTTATTTAAGTAACTTGAGACATAACTTTAAAGTTTAATAAATTTCAATTTCAATATTTCTTTCTAAAAACCATGATTTTTTTCCATTCTTAATAACAACTTTTTGATTTCAAATACTACTGGAAATATTCTTTCACACTTTAAAATTTTTTCTTCCTTATTTCCTTACGTATTTTATGGACAACCCCCTTCACAAAAAACCGGAATATGAATCGATTTATATATATATTCTTTTATATTTTTATTATGCATGTTAGAATCCAGAGAACTGGAAATCATTTACGGTGTTGTAGAACACTAAAAGGTTCAAAACTCTAAGTTCTTTTTAGTTCCTGAAGAAAGTAACTTTAACTTTTTATCGAAAAGTACTTCGGACGCTTGGTGTCGGGGTTTGGCGTAGTCTGTGTATGGGTTATAAACGATGCACAAGCAATTCGTGCGTTATATACATATACGAGGCCTGTTCAAAAAGTATCGCGATTTTGTGTTTTTTCAAAAGTTATTTATTTATCCATGAATATCCATTTTGTCCCCTTCAAGGTAATCCCCAGCAGATATTATATACTTGTGTCAACGTTTTTTCCAATCGTCGAAACACGTCAAAAAATCATTTCTTCAGATCTTGTTTAGCTCCTTCCGTCTTTATCTTCTCAATTGTAGCGTCGTCCTTTCATGGGCCTCTTCAGTTTCGGGAACAAGAAAATGTCAGAGGGGTCAGATCTGGGGAATATGGTGGTTATGGCATTATTAGTGTGTTGTTTTCGACAAAAAATTAGCACACAAGTAACGATGTGTGAGCATGGGCAAAAAGGTGCAAATGCCAATTTTTGTTCTTTCGAAAATCCGGGCGTTTCTGGCGGATTGCTCCGCGCAAATTGCTCATAACTTGCAGATAATATTCCTTATTGACCGTTCTACCTTGTAGCAAGAACTCATGATGTACCACGCCCCTGCAATCGAAGAAAACTGTAAGCAAAACCTTCACGTTCGACCCAACAGCTTCCATTGGGATGATTGAGTTTTGCTTTCCATGTCATAATCATAAACCCATGATTCGTCACCAGTTATGACCCTCTGGAGCAAATTTTGGTGGTCGCGGATAGAGTCCATTTCAATGCGATGCTGTTTTTGGTCGAAATTGAGCAATTTTGGTACGAATTTCGCGGTGACCCATCTCATGCCCATGGCAAGAGCCAATCGATATGTTTAAGTCCTCTGCAACTTCTCTGACGATGATTCAACGATTGGCCAATAGTATTTTCTTCACTTCATCGATGTTTTCGTCTGTTATTGACGTGCTCGGGCGTCCGGTACGCTCTTCAGATCATCTCAGCCCTCTGAGAACATTTTATACCACCGATCAACGTTGATTTGGTTCACGGTAGCTTCACCATATACCATGGTCAACATTCGGAATGCGTCCACGCACTTAATTTTGTTTTTCACACAAAATTCGATACAGATTCTTTGATCCATTTTTTGGAATAGGCAAAAATTGAAGACGAGCCAAAACAAGTGCAAGCAAAGCAGCCGTCAAAAATTAATTAAACATTCAACATGGCCGGTATAAGTGAGAGACATGAGTACCAACATAATGCAACAAAAAAAATCGAATATAGGTACGTAACCCACCCGCGGAAATTCAAAATTTGCGATACTTTTTGAAGAGCCCTCGTACATATAATAGGTTTATTTTGGAAAGTTTACATAGTATTTTGGAAACGGATCTTCAAAATGAAACTTCTAATTTATTAAAACGAACAACGCAAGGAGGGTGTGACGGAGAGAAACTGAAGTAAAAGGGTTCCTTTTGGATACGGAACCTTTAAAAAAAGTCCATTGTTCATTACTCATTAGTAACATTTGATAAATAGAAAGGAACACACTCGCTACTTTTCTTCGGTTTCTTATATTACATTATTATCGTAATTATATTTATCTTAAAAATAACTTTTAATTTCCCCAACAAATTATTACCCATACGTAATAAAAATTTATCTTATTATTCTCATAATAAAATCTACTGTAATAGTTCCGCAATCCAAGGTAAACAAAGTACTTAATGATCACTTTTTTGTACACATATTATTGAAAAGATAGTATCCGTAATTGAAGCTTTAGCCGGTTGTCAATCAATTCAATTGGTAATTAATAATCGATCGTGTCTTATTTTTCGCTTAAGGTATAATTCTTCAATGTTGTAGGCACATAACAGTATAATATGCAATACGTACACATTAGTACATATGATATATTTATCGTACTTTCATAAAAATATAAGAAAATTGTTATTTACACGTAGTTATACAATCACTTTTGAATTTATACTTAAACGTAAAAATTTATTCAAAAAACTACAAAGTCTATTTGTAATGACCTAATAATTTGATTTGATCCTTATGGCGATACATTTTCGTACAGTATATATCGGGTTGTTCGGAAAGTCATTTCGTTTTTTCCCGACAGAGGATTTAATTGTATTCTTTTGCACCCAACTTCACATTTAAGCCGTATAATTTTTATATGCTTTGAGAGCTCATATAGCAAGGCTTGTGTGTGAAAAATTCCAATTAATTCTACGCAGTAGTTTTTGGTTGGTGCCCTTTTAAATATGGAGAGCGATAAGCAGCATTTTCGACATATCTTACTGTTTTACTACAGAAAGGGTAAAAATGCTGTTCAAGCCAGAAAGAAATTGACTGATGTGTATGGAGAAGGTGTGTTGACAGTACGCCAGTGCCAGAACTGGTTCGCTAAATTTCGATCCGGCAATTTTGATGTCGAAGATGCACCACGTTCGGGAAGGCCGGTTGAAGCTGATAAAGACGCGATAAAGGCATTAGTTGATGTGAACCGGCGAATAACAACACGTGAGATCGGATTGAGGTTAAATTTATCAAATTCAACAGTTTATGACCACTTGAAAGGCCTGGGATTATCCTCGAAGCTCGATGTATGGGTTCCCCATGTTCTCACAGAGAGAAATCTGTGTCGCCGCATTGACGTCTGCGATTCGCTTCTCAAACGTCACGAAAATGATCCGTTTTTGAAGCGCATCATCACTGGGGACGAAAAATGGGTTGTATACAACAACGTCAAACGCAAGAGGTCATGGAGCAAAAAAGATGAACCGGCTCAAACCATTTCCAAAGCCGATATTCACCAAAAAAAGGTGATGCTGTCTGTTTGGTGGGATTTTAAAGGAATCGTTTTTTTTGAGCTTTTACCGGATAACACAACGATTAATTCGGAAGTCTACTGTCATCAGCTGGACAAACTGAATGATGCACTTCAACAGAAAAGGTCAGAACTAATCAACAGGAAAGGTGTAGTGTTTCACCAAGACAACGCGAGACCTCACACAAGTTTGGTCACTCGCCAAAAGCTTTTACAGCTTGAATGGGATACAATGCTACACCCACCATATTCTCCAGACCTGGCACCATCGGATTATTATTTGTTCCGGTCACTCCAAAATTTTTTAGACGGTAAAACCTTCACCTCAAATGAGGAGGTCAAAAACCTCCTCGATCAGTTTTTTGCCAGCAAAGACCAAAAATTTTATGAGCGTGGAATTATGCTACTACCAGAAAGATGGCAAAAGGTGTTGGACCAGAACGGTCAATATATAATTTAATAAAGTATTTGTTTATTATACGAAAACTGTCTTTCATTTCCACAAAAAAAAAACGAAATGACTTTCCGAACAACCCTATAGGTACAACGTCGGGTTTATATTAGTCATGTACATGGCAAAACCAAGACCAAGACTCCCAGTCGTAGTATTGATCTTGTTCTTGCTTATTGATCTTTTTCTTGCTTATTCAGTCTTGGTCTTGGTCTTACTGATCTAAATCTAAATCTTCGTCTTGTTCATTTACTCTGATACTTAATAATTCTTTTATTAACAAATTTTTCTTTTTTTTTATGAAACTCGAATACTTATCCTTTTTCCAATGCACTAATTGACCCATTCTCCAATGCATCACTTTACACCTAAAAAAATACCGCAAGGTATTTGGGCGAAGTAAAAATATCTTGCTTATTTAGTTTTGATCTTACATATTCGATCTTGGTTTTAGTCTTGGTCTTGTTCGTTTCGGTCTTAGTCTTGGACTGTAAGACCAATTTTGCTCATTAGTTTATACAAAAAACGACTTGAAAAAAAAACTTTTTCTAATTTGGATATTTTCTTGATATCAGTTTAAATTGGTTTCAAATTTTTACTGATAGAAAAGATCTATTTACAATTTAAATAGAAGATTGTATTTTTTTATTTAATTCAAAACCGGTGTTTCATTAAAAACCCATTTTTAGAATTACATAATTTTATTTTAAAAACCGACAATCCCTAGTATGTATAATGCTTTGTTCTCGTTAAATGTCGGAGCCGTATAATTAATAAGTAATCACTTTATATTAGGTATCTACATCCACTTAACAAACAAATTAGTGTACCGAACGTCACTCCCCTATAACCTTATTATCTGCATTAACCCTATACACAACGGTTTCCTTTGAAGCATGTTTTTTGATTTTATGCCCGTAATTTAGTTACAAGTCATTCGTGTAATTGACTTATGTAAGTCTTTTGACAGGTTGCGGAATATTTATAGATGAAAAACCTCAGCAATCTAGCGCGAAAGAATGGCCCTGGCTGGCGTCTTTGTATGACCCAGAAACTAGTAAACCTTTTTGCGGTGGTGCCCTTATTACAGACCGACACATATTAACTGCTGCACATTGTACTGAAGGGTAAGTGTCCCCTTTTTCACTTCAGATCTGATTCCACTCCTATTTCACACGATGTCATCGAGGCTTATGCCTAAAGATCAGTGGTGGATCTTCAATATTTAGGGCCCGATCCATAAGTCTTCCTGGTGGCCCATTTCAAAACAAAAAAAAATGAAGGTAATAAAGCATAATTTTTAATTTTTATTAGAAATGTACAACCGGAATACCGGACCAACTGCGGGACCAAATGAGTTGAGATTTTGCCGAAAAAAAATTTTTTCTTTAAAACACATGTCACCTTGTGACACCCTGTCGCACCTTTTATATCATACAAACTTAAATTTACTTGAACCAATGTAAGCAGTGACATTTTGTGCGTATTAATTTAAAAATTAGTTAAAAAGGAGCTGGGATTATCAGTCTCTTTCTTCGATTTCGGAAAAACACATTTTCGTCAAAACGCATGTCACCTTGCGACACCCTATCGCGCTTTTTTATATATTACCTACACATTTTTTTCTTGGACCATTGTAAACAGTGAAATTTTGCGCGTTTTGAGTTGAAATTATGAACAATTTCGCAAGAACACACTTTTGTTAAAACATATGTCATCTTACAACTCTTTGCCGGGCTTTTCATCATCATAAGGTCGTCAGTCCTAAGACTGGTTGGACACGTACCTCCACTCTTTTCTATCCTGAGCTAAACTTCGCATTTCCCTTATACTAGAACAACCCACATCCTTAACTATTTGCGAACCTCTACCCCTCCTTCATACCTGAGAAGGTGTCCTACCAATCTATCTCGCCTATTTTTTATTGACTTCCATACAGTCCTCTGTTCCACTATTCTTTCCAATACCTCTTCATTTCTAACCTTTTCTACCCACGTTATCCTCATCATCCGCCTATAACACCACATTTCGAACGCTTCTAATCTTTTCTTTTCCGCCGCGCCCACTGTCCATGTTTCGCACCCGTACAACGCCGTGCTCCAAATATAAACCTTTAACAACCTTTTTCGAATTTCTAAATTAACCGTTCGCGAGCATAGAAGTGACTTCTTTTTATTAAAGGCGACACGACCCTGCCCTATCTTCTGCTTTATATTCCTACTACTCCTTCCATCCTGACTTATCTGACTTCCTAAAAGCCGGGCTTTTATTTCAAACAAATTTAAACTGGCTTAATTTACTACAAAGAGCAAAATTTTGCGGGTTCATATTTGAAAATTGGTTAAAGACGGAGCTGAAGAATAATTTCCGTTAATTTTGTTTAATTTCGCGAAAACACATTTTCGTCAAAACATATGTCACCGTGTGATACTCTACTAAGTTTTTATATATTACTTACACGTTTTTTTTTCCTTGAAACATTGTAAAGAGTGAAATTTTGTGCGTTTAAATTTCAAAATTAGTTAAAAAGGAGCTGAGATTGTCAGTCTCTTTCTTCGATTTCGCAAAAACACATTTTTGTCAAAACACGTCACCCTGCGGCACCCTGTAGCACTTTTACATCAAATGAATTAAAATTTATTTCACCCGCACGCTAGAGAGCAAAATTTTGCAAAGAACAAAAGTTTACTGGTTCATATTTGAAAATTGGTTAAAAACGGAGCTGAAGTTATGAATAATTTCCTTTAATTTTGCGAAAACATATTTTGGTCAACTTGCGACACTCTACCGCGCTTTTTGTGTATTACCTACACGTTTTTTCCTTGAAACATTGTAAAGAGTGAAATTTTGTGCGTTTAAATTTGAAAATTGGTTAAAAAAGACCTGAAATTATGAAAAATTTTCTTCAATTTCGCAAAACACATGTCATCTTACAACACCTTGCCGGGCTTGTATATCAAACAAATCCAAAACCAGCTTAAACTACTGCAGAGCGAAATTTTACGGGTCCATATTTGAAAATTGGTTAAAAACGGAACTGAAGTTATGAATAATTTCCTTTAATTTCGGAAAAACATATTTTGGTCAACTTGCGACACTCTACCGGGCTTTTTGTGTATTACCTACACGTTTTTTCTTGAACCATTGTAATGAGTGAAATTTTGTGCTTTTAAATTTGAAAATTGGTTAAAGAAGACCTGAAATTATGAAAAATTTTCTTCAATTTCGCAAAACACATGTCATCTTACAACACCTTGCCGGGCTTGTATATCAAACAAATCCAAAACCAGCTTAAACTACTGCAGAGCGAAATTTTACGGGTCCATATTTGAAAATTGGTTAAAAACGGAACTGAAGTTATGAATAATTTCCTTTAATTTCGGAAAAACATATTTTGGTCAACTTGCGACACTCTACCGGGCTTTTTGTGTATTACCTACACGTTTTTTCTTGAACCATTGTAATGAGTGAAATTTTGTGCTTTTAAATTTGAAAATTGGTTAAAGAAGACCTGAAATTATGAAAAATTTTCTTCAATTTCGCAAAACACATGTCATCTTACAACACCTTGCCGGGCTTGTATATCAAACAAATCCAAAACCAGCTTAAACTACTGCAGAGCGAAATTTTACGGGTCCATATTTGAAAATTGGTTAAAAACGGAACTGAAGTTATGAATAATTTCCTTTAATTTCGGAAAAACATATTTTGGTCAACTTGCGACACTCTACCGGGCTTTTTGTGTATTACCTACACGTTTTTTCTTGAACCATTGTAATGAGTGAAATTTTGTGCTTTTAAATTTGAAAATTGGTTAAAGAAGACCTGAAATTATGAAAAATTTTCTTCAATTTCGCAAAACACATGTCATCTTACAACACCTTGCCGGGCTTGTATATCAAACAAATCCAAAACCAGCTTAAACTACTGCAGAGCGAAATTTTACGGGTCCATATTTGAAAATTGGTTAAAAACGGAACTGAAGTTATGAATAATTTCCTTTAATTTCGGAAAAACATATTTTGGTCAACTTGCGACACTCTACCGGGCTTTTTGTGTATTACCTACACGTTTTTTCTTGAACCATTGTAATGAGTGAAATTTTGTGCTTTTAAATTTGAAAATTGGTTAAAGAAGACCTGAAATTATGAAAAATTTTCTTCAATTTCGCAAAACACATGTCATCTTACAACACCTTGCCGGGCTCGTATATCAAACAAATCCAAAACCAGCTTAAACTACTGCAAAGAGTGAAATTTTACGGGTCCGTATTTGGAAATTGGTTAAAAACGGAGCTGAAGTTATGAATAATTTTCTTTAATTCCGCGAAAACACATTTTCGTCAAAGCACATGTCAGTTTACGACACCCCGTCCCACTTATATGCTATACAAATTAAAATTGGTCTGAACCAAATGGTGCACCTTGGACATTCGCAGCTCCGTTTATAACTTTCTTTGGGGGTCCCTATTTATATAAAAATAAAAGTCAAACTATAAAAAAATAAACCGTAAGTTTATAATTTACAAGAGATACGTAACTAGAATGCGAGGCCACTTCTGGAGCGCTCCGTGAGTCGGGAGTCCCTTTCTGTATCGTTATTTTAAGAGGTAGAAGTATTTTTCCTGTGGGATTTTATTTGTAAAGAAAAAAAGAAACAAATCTACTTTCTAAAGGAATGCGGAGTTATTTAGAGGCTTCAATTTATTACATAAAACGTTTGTATTCGTTGTGCTCAGGATGAGGCGGGTTGTGAAAACAAATCGGGAAAGTTGTCATCATACCTGACAGATGGCTTTTTTGTAAAATATTGTATAGTAAGCTAAAAAAAAAAGAGGATAGACGAAAAACGACAGAACGTATGTAACTTGAGAAAAATATATAATGGAAACTGTCCCTCGCAAATTCATCGGCGTATTTCAATAGGCACTCTATTTATGTCAAAGAATGGGGTTAATGACAAGAGTTCAATCATTTCATCGAACAAAAGGGCAAGCCATACAAAATTTTCTGACCTCTGTTTATAGGTACGTGATAATAACAAAAACAGCAGATGCGGTACATTTTCGGACAAATAAAAAAAATTAAAACGATAAATTGAAATTGCTTTAAGGAGTTTTGATGGTATAAAATGATGGTAAAAATGTCTACTATAACAACAATAATGATTTCGAACTATCTTTCCATTCTTCCTCATAAAAACTAACTGTTTCATACACTCAGTGCGAAAGTACAGATCTTAATGTTGATATTAATATTTTAATCTTTTATAAAGTCAAAATTGTAAATCATTAACTTTATGATTTATTACTGGAACAATAACCCGTATACCTACCACATGGAAGAGAAAGATACCCTTATCTTTCTCGGCTAGTCGCAGGTAACGAACACTGCTGCTACTTTGTAGAGTTTGTTTCTGTTTAATTACCGTACTACCGATTGTTTCGTGAATCTTAAATAAATTTCAGTGGGATTGAAAAGTTTTATTTAATAGGATTTTTAAAAAAGTGATCAAAACTAATTGCAATCTACATAATGCAATTAAAACATTAATAAAAAACGTACAGAAGCTTTTATTGGGGTAGTTTAAGCTAAATGTATTTAACCTTGCTTACTTTTGTCGTATTTTGCTTGTCTTTACAATTACTGTTACCTTAATAATTAATTGGATAACATACATACTTTTATGATATCAATAAACAATAAAACAGAAAAGTACGTGTTCTTGGACGAAACGTAGATATTCTCTAGAGGAAAATTTTTTGAGAGAAATTCTGTTTGAATGTGAACCCCTTATAATAGAATCTACTAACGTTTCAACGGATTCTGAAGTAGAGAGGTACTCTTACACCTTCTATTTTCTTATATTTTTATGCTTATTTTCATGATTAACTTTCATAATCATCATTTATTATAGTCTAACTTTTGACTTTTGGACATTGTAGTTATGTTATTTAAATACACAATGAAAAAAGGTAGTTTTTTTCACTTTTTAAAAACCATATTAGATATGTGAGAAAAACTTCTCAATTTAACTAATTTATTCACGAAGTAATTGGAAATATATTAATAAAGGAGAGACACTCTACAAGGTGTTTAAATAGAGAGAAAGATGCACAAATTTTATAATGTACTAGCAGAGTTCGTTACCTGTGAGTAGCCGAGAAAGATAAGGGATATCTTTCTCTTCCTTGTGGTAAGTATACCGATAAGTAGATTAATTGTTCCAGTAATATATAACAAAGTCATAGTGTATACTTCAAGATTCTTTATACCAAAATCGACTTTTTCGCATGCAAGTATATTATATTTGAAAACTATATATGTATAATTAGAAAATTACAGAAGAAAAGTAAACTAGAAGTTTTAATGAAAGTGAATATAATTACTTTGAGATTAGGAACCTACCTGTTGTATAGTTGTAAATTGCCATTTATTTCGTGTGGATCATTTTGTAAATCTTATATTTTAGTAAACAATAAGTATTAAAATTTGCTTTTTTAAATTGTATAATATGTTAGGTATTAAAAACACTAGTTTTAGGGCATTAAAAATTATCAAACGAAAACAATTTATTGTTTATTACATTGACACTATACCGAACTTTATGTTATTAGAAAAAAGGTAATTGATGAATTTATTAATCAAAGCGACGGAGTAGCGGCTGCTTTAAGTACATAATTTAAATGAAGATATAAAGCCAGGAATAAAAACGCTACAGCTACGCTAAAATTAATTTGGATTAATTCTAGGAGAACACCCTCAGATATGAGGGTTCGCCTGGGCGAATATGATTACGCAAGGCCGGATGAAACACGTGCTCGAAATTTCGAAATATCCGAAATAAAGGAGCACGAAGAATTTGAATTGTCAACGTACTTTAACGACATAGCTATTTTAACGTTAACCAACGCTACAGGATTTAATACCTACATTTGGCCCATTTGTTTGCCTCCGCTTAATAAAAACTACGTTAACGAAACGGTCATTGTAGCCGGATGGGGACAAATATCATATTCGGGTAACACATCAAACATTCTAAGACAGGTTGAGATTCCCGTTTGGGAACATGAAAGATGTGCCGATTCTTTTGTACAAACAATTAATGAAAAAACCATCTGCGCTGCAGCGTACGAAGGCGGTAGAGATTCTTGTAAGGTATAAAAGAAAATATTTATTCTCTTAATTCGTACGTCTCACAGGAAGTTACCATTTTCTCACTAGGGCGATTCTGGGGGACCACTTCTTCATCAGTTACCGAATGGACGATGGGTTATAATCGGTATAGTATCGTGGGGCATTGGTTGTGGACAAAAGGGACAGCCGGGGATTTACACACGCGTTGACAGTTACATTCCTTGGATTCTAACTAACACCATTGCGAAATAAATCATTTCAATTAATGATATTAACTTTATTTAATAAACCTTCATAAGACATAATAACGAAATAAATATGAAACATGTTAAAAATAAGTGAGATAAATAATTTAATTAATTCTCAGTAAACATAGTAACTAACATAATTATATAACTCTTTATTTACCTATATGTAACGGCATAATATAACTTTATAGACTATACGATACAATTTTTGTTAAAATACTTATCTTTGGTAATATTTGACTTAATTTTTGTACTAAGTTGACATGTATTGTAAATAACCGAATAAAATTAAACAGAAAGAAAGTGAAGAGTAACAGGTAACATCACATATAGTTTTATTTTACCCCACAGTAGCACCAGAAGCCAGTGGTTACCATATCTATTACATCTTTAAATATCTCTTAATAAACTACAGACATTTCAAACAAATTGAGCTATATTTATTGACAATTAAATAACATTCCTAAATGTACATGTACGTTTTGTTTGTGGATCACATAATCAGTAATAAGAAGGTTAGGTTAGGTTTTGTTGAATCAACATTTAGGCTATGTTAGGTTTGGTTTAACTACGTATACACGTATATTAACAGCAACAACATTTCCAGTGTTACTAAAGTAACACATATTACATGTCGGAAAATGTTTCAGTTGTGTACTATTCAGATGCAGGTCTTATATTATATGGTAGACAGATAAAATGCCACTAAGGAGTCTTCTGGTTCAATAAACAGAGATTCCTGTTAGTAGGAGGGTTAAAATAGACCGTTAAATTCGCAGTACTAACCCATTTATTTATTTCTTTCTTTTTTAATCAGTCTCCTAGTTATCTCAGGCAAAATTTAATCCCATTCACAGGAAATTATATACGTAAATATAACATCTATAAATACATTTATATATATATCGTTCGTTATTTATTATTTTAATTACATCAAATGTTAGAACACTCTGTATTGGAACACCGATAAGGGTATGTTAGCGTTTTGCGAAAACTTCGCATTGGTACTGCTACACATCGACAGTGGAATTACATTGAGGCCTTCTTGTAAGAACAGGTCGAATTGATAGACACTCAGATTGGGGTGTAAGAAGTTAATTGGGGAATATGGTCCACAAATACTGGTCATAATGAGCGGGCTGCAACAAAATGTTTTGTAACATTTTGCTGCCTAGAATTTCGACGACAACGTAGAGGATTTGAATAGGAAGAATATAGAGACTCCATGGTGTTTCTTCATTCAGACGTTATGGTACTCTGAAGTGGTAAAAGAAAGCAGGGGTACCACTGCGTCATCGTCCATGTTGTCATGAACGTTTATACTATTCAATTTTTTCCCGTTGCCTTCGGAACTGAGTTGGATCTTTCCGTTAGGGAGACTGGACCCAGTAAGATTTGGGGGCATTTTTGGAACGTAATCGCTGTCTATATTTGCCCCTTTGCATTCTCCCATTAACCAATAAGTTATCATTTTTCCTTTACCCTGTCAAAACAAAATAAAATTTGCTAAGTCATAAAGCCAATGGGCTTGCAAAAGAAACCTACTTTCATCTCAACTTCCCCTCTGCATTCCAAATTGAACGTGCCGTAAATGTCGAGAACTTCTTTGGTTGCTGGGCTAACATGTATTCGCAGGGGCAGCCCATTTGATTCCATTCTAGATGCCGTATTTACAGTGTCGCCAAAGAGACAGTATCGAGGCATTTTAAGACCAACTACCCCAGCAACGCATGGTCCAGTATGCATACCGATTCTCAGTTTTAACGGTTCATTTGGTCTATGCCTAATTTTAAATTTTCGGACTTGTTCTAAAAGGGCTAATGACATACGAGCTATTTCTACCGCGTGTCTAGTTCCATTTCTTTCTGGCAAACCCGACACTACCATGTATGCGTCACCAATTGTTTCCACCTATAAATATCCAAGAATGTTACTAAACCTAGAAAACCTGTAATACTCCCAACAATCCCCTTCAATAAAGAATAAAAATCTTTTCCTACATACAAAACGGGACTCCTATCTGAAGTATCTACACACAAACAGTGACTCCAAAAATCGTTTATTTCACTCATTTTTGAAATTGAGTGGTGCATCGTTGTCAAAAATATAAAATCCGGATCCCTTTGGCAAATATTTTTGAGGTTTAGCGGTGAATTTTCAAATGTTCTGTGTGTGAAAACGAGATAAAATCGCCATATTGGATATGCCATTTTGAAGTTTTCGTTTCTAGCATCATCTAATCAATTGCTTTTAATAATATAATTAGGTAACTATGTATCTCCAACTTGAAATTTCTGAGAATGGATGCCCTATCATTTAGCACGTATTTTCGATCTAAATTAGAGTAAGGTAAAATGGACGAAATTTGTCCATTTTAGGGGTTTAAGTTGCAAGCATTATAAAACTTTGTAGGTATTTCATCGTTAAGAAAAATTTTTCATCCAAAACGAATTTCACAGCTATAGCGAATAATTCGTTACTTTCAATTCTCCCTAGGCCGTAGGCGGTTCGACAGCAGTGCTATATTCAAGTAAACGGTTTAGTGAGATTGCTAAAATATTGCATTTGTCATTAGCATACAAGCAAATGATAATATATGAGGGATAATCCGTTTGCTCCACCCCTTACCAAAATTATAAACCAAAAAATTATTAATAATAATAATAAATAATTAAATGGGTGAGTCCTTGATCCATCCTTACAATGTAGAAACCAAAATACAGAGCAAGAAATGGACCCATAGGGGCTCACCACCGCCGAAAAAATTCAAGATGCAACTTTTAGTTAGGGATGGTCAAGTTATCTGTTTTACGGGATTCTGAAGGTGTAATTGTAGTAGATTTCCTGCATAAAAGGGGCTACAATTGCAGGTGCTTATGATGTTAATTTAATTACCAAATTACGCCAGTTGATAAAAGGAAAACGTCGGGGAAAGTTGCGAAAAGGTAAAGGATAACGCACCCATTACAATAGCTTCGGCCAGCTTTGAATTAGTTCAGCAGATTCGCCAGATTTGGCTCTTAGCGATTAATGATTTAAAGAATTCTTGTATGGTAAACGATTTACGTCATAAAACTAACTAACTTTCGTCTAAAGAATTTTTTTTTCCGAGAGGCGTTAGAATTTCTAGAACATCAATGGTAAAAAAGTGTTGACCTTAATGGATTATATTGAAAAGTAAGTGTAAAATTTTGTTATTGTAAATAGGTAAGGGGCGGAGCAAAGGGATCAACCGCAGCTCCACAAAGAATTAAAATTGCTTTGATTGAATTATGCTGTAAATTAGTTTAATTGATTATTATTCGCATTCTTCTATCTGCACCATCTGTTATGGAATTAAAAATCATAATATTAAAACACCCTTGAGCTATTCGTTTGAAGTTATAACGCGCTCTCACAAGGTCACTAACTACTCGCTGCATTACAATCCGACTAAAAGAAAGTTGATGCTACTTTCAGAAATACCTAGGCGGAATTAGAAATAGTTATTTATTTGTAATGACTCTACGACATATATGTTTGTACATAAGTTGAACAAGATCTTTCACTAGTGTAAATATGAAGACAGAAATCGTAATTATTTAATCTCCACCTCGGATACTACGGCGCTAATCGGATTTCAACGTATATGATAGCAAAGGAAGAAACTGATGAGCTTGTATCTTTCCATTAGTGTACGTATTAATAAGCAAGCTCTACTCATTTCTACAAGTTTCAATTTTGTACCTTATTACTTTTCAATTTCCCTTTTAATTTGGGTAGCTTTAATTGTATTTAGTTTTGCCTTCTTTTGAAAATTTACAAAGGACCTTTTTCCTTTGTCCGTTTTGAATGGCTCTCCGCGTTACGAGAATGAGCTATTCAGGGCGGAAATCGGCTTTTTTTATTTTTAAACAAAACGAAAATATTTTTGGTCGTTTAAACAGCCGACGTTTTAATATTGAACGTGGAGATATTAAATACTTCAGTCGCGTACCAGGTAGTAGTTTAGAAATTTCCGTATTTTAATAATGTTTAATTCTAACGTAATTAGTATTTCTCGTTCTCGAGACACATTCGAAATTCTGAAGAGCGATTTAAAGATTTCAATTCTGTTGAAGCGCTTATTGTAACTACAAAACAATGCAAAAGTTACTAATTAAATTTTATTCATTTTCTTCAAGTAGAATGTCATCGGTGCTTGAATATTAGGTACAAAATTTTACAATGAGTTAGCGCTTTAAAGTAGGGTTTTATTAAATCGCCTAGTTATTCCGAATCGAGTTCTCGTAAACATGGAACTTTAATTTTGTACAATAATTACGGAAACATGTTTCGTAATATGGCATTTATTATAAACTGAAGTATCTTTCTATTAAATTCCACAGATTTAATATGTGTTCAGCATCAATAGTAAGTTGAAGTATACAATATAAATTCACTAGATGCTTTGAGCTTATTGATCCTACATACATCTCTTCGGTGCACAATAAAATTAGCTGCCCACTGCACAGGATATTTCATTTTATATGAAGGGGTTTAAGTTCAACCTTTTAATTTCAAACTGCTTGGAATTGTTAAACGTACGCAGGAAACTGACACGTTCTAAAAGTACCTACATTGATAGATAACTAGAATATAGCAATATCTACAGAAAAATTATTAATTATATAAACTAAGAATGAAGCTACGTATGGGGCAAAAGTTTTTATTTATATGAGACCAAGAATGGGACAAGATGTTAAATATATTTAAAAATGTAGGGATGAGTTACAAAGATAGAATAGTGATACTTAGTTTGTATAAAAAGCAACAGGCAGTTATAGAGTTAGGGCTGAAACGTAGAGAAGTAAATATTAGACAGGGAGTTAGACAGGGATGCACACTGTCACCGCTACTTTTTAATCTACATATCGAAGACGGGATCAATAACTAAATAAAAGTAGAACAAAAATACTGGTATGCAAGGGAAGAAAAAGTAGCGAAAGAGCGAATATAAAAATAGGAGACGAAAAATTAGAAGAAGTGGCTTATTTTAGGAATCTAAAATAAAATTGTTAGAGGTGTATGTTTGGAGCGCGGCAGAAAAGAATAGGTTACAGGCGAATGATGAGAATATCGTGGATAGAAAAAGTTAGAAGTGAAGAGGTATTAGAAGGAATAGGAGTACAGAGGACTCTATGGAAGTCAATAAGAAGTAGGCGAAATAGGTTAGTAGAACACCTCCTCTGGCATGAAGGTCTAGTCAGAGACATATTAGAGGCAGAAACAGGAGTTAGGAGGGGTAGAGGTAGACCTAGATTACATTACTGTTCGCAAATAGTTAAGGATGTGGGTTGTTTTGGTTTTAAGGAAATGCGTAGATTAGCTCAAGATTGGAAAGAGTGGAGGTACCGTGTCCAACCAGTCTTAGCACTGACGATCTTATGATGATGATGATGAGACCAACAACGTACGTTTCGCCTCAACTATAAGGCATCTTCAGGGTTAGGTTTCTAAGTTATATACTGTGTGTGTCTAAGGTTGCGGTATTTTTTTCGCGCAGTATGGATTTATGTGTAAAACATTAGACTAAGTAATTAATATCACTTTAGATAAAATAATTATTAGTTAGAAATTAAAACCACTTAAAAAACACAAAGTATAGATAAAACAATAACTATTATAAATAATTAAAAGCCACGTGGTAACAACACGTAGCTTGATTGTTACTTTATACAATTGATGGGGAAGAAATTGTAACAAAATTAATTACTTTGTTACATGGAAAAACCCTACAGGGTTTACAGGTATCGTTACAGTTATTACTTAAAATAAAAATACAAATAGGCCCTTGTAAATTTTATTGCTCTGTTTATGTAAATTATAATTTGTATTTCCCAGACCTAAGTGACCGCCCGAAACAACGTAATAGTATAGAAGAAATTATCGTTAAAAACCTTTACAGGAAGGTCTACCTAGTCCAAGAAAAAAAAATGGAAACGCTTGAATTTTTTGAAAATTTCTTAAATTTTCTATTCCATTTCGAGTAAAAATTGCTTCATTCGTTCATTCTTTGCGAAAAGTCAAAAATGTTTCTATTTTGGCGACTCAATCACATTTATAATACGGATATTGATATTTTGCCTCTTCACCAAGTGCTTGTACAAAGGGCATGCGGATGATAATAACGACCAACGAGCGCGGTCATCGTCCCGTGTTTTATATTTAGGCATATCGGTATTTCACAGAAACCAATAACGATACAAAAATGTAATATCCTGCAATAACCTGATTACAAAATTATTGGAAATTTCTGAAAATATTTTCTGTTTTATCATTACTACCTATAAAAATAAAAGTACCAACCAAGAAATTTAATTTTTTTCTGTATGTTTTTTTTTAAGGCTTTTTATAGATAATTTTCATATCCCATATATAACTCCTTGAGTTCCGTTATAATATTACGCACCTATAGGGAAGAAAAGTAAAGAATGTCTCAGACCGCGTGTTTATTTCCTCCCCTGGTGCGTACGCTATTTTTCACCACCCCTCGGTCAGGAAGTGAAATTTTCTTGAGTAAGTAATGTAGCAGTGATGTTCATCGCGAGAAAAATCGCAAAAGCACTCGATTTGGACCTAGTAGTACCTAATAAATATATTTTTTCATTATCAAATGGAAACGTCGCAAAATTTATCAACATTTATAAATGTACAGTCTATAACCCTATTGCAATTTGAGAAAAATCCATTATAATGTTGCTTCATTATCATCATCATCATCATCATAAGGTCGTCAGTCCTAAGACTGGTTGGACACGTACCTCCACTCTTTCCTATCCTGAGCTAATCTTCGCATTTCCCTAAAATTAGAACAGCCCACATCCTTAACTATTTGCGAACACTAATCTAATCTAGTTCTACACCTATACCCCTCCTGTTATGGAGGTAAT